AAAAGTAAATAATCTGCAACCCATCAATCATATTTAAATTCTAGTATTAAGTCTTTTATTACGTATATCTATTATACACAATTATACATCACAATTTACGGTTGACATTGCAACACGCTACTATCTTCTTATTTTCGGAAATTCGAAACAAACAAGCACGAATCTAAAGAACTCATTTTTATTCAAGAAAAATTATTCTTTTTTCGCGTTTTCACGTTTCCATCGCAATTGTGATGTAACTCGCACAATTCTTGGTTAAAATATACATTCTAAAAATTTTCTTTCATTGTAAAAACATACTAAAAAAAAAAAGAACTGAAGCTTTATTATTTTGTTTGTTTAAAATTAAAAATTTAAAAAAATTCCTAAATCGTTAAAAAAATATAATTTATCATAATATTTAATTTTTAAGTTTTCCAAATAATATTTAATTTTTAATTTTTCCAAATATTATAATATTCCACTTTTAAATTTAGAAAAATAGAAATTTAAAAAATGAAAATATTACTAATTTCTTAAAAAATTAAATTAGGTGACTCCTTAAGCGATTATGTCATATATGTTACAAAACATATATAAAATTATGGAATTTTAAAATTTTTCAAAGATTACAAATTATAATTTACAGATTATAAGTCACGTAAAAATTAGTAAATATCTCTTATAACAAAAAAAGTTTGTTTTATATAATCATTATAATTTATTACTAACAAAAATCATCTATTTGGAACGTATCAAAGCGCATATATTCACGGATCCGTGGCTCGAACGTTAATCATGCATCGCGGTCATAAAACTTGGTGAACAACATCAATCCAAACACGTCATATCTTTCTCGATTCAACGAAGAAGAATAACTCAACGGACCGGTTATTTCTCCCAGTTCCTGTCGACGGATGCCCGTTTTCCGCGTCACGTTCCATCGATCCCCGGATACATATCGATCCGAACGTCAACGAACCGACCGAAATTACTAGCTACTAGATATTTTCGTTCGCCGGAAACCGGACCACCGATCGTCCACCACTGTGTTTGTATAGAAAAGCCGCGGCATCAACGTTCGAGGAAGAATCGAAGGGGGAACGGAGCGGTTAAGCTTCCGCGTAATCGTAAAAGTAAACCGACGATTTCGCATGAATCTGCGAATTCGCGGCATTCCGTTCCAAGCGAAATTCTGATTTCATTGGATGGATCTTTCATGCGAGTGCCGTGTTTCGTTCGTCGAATAAATCGTTTCGATAAAGTGAATAATTTTGGAAATAAATTCATTGTTAATATATTCAGTCAATATATAATACATATTTATCGTATATATGTAATATAGTCTTTGAATTCCAGAAACTGAAACAAAGGAAAAAGTTATATATAAAAATGTTTTGGGTTATTTATTATATTATTATATATAAGTTATGAGCGATTGAAGTTTACATTAGATGAAGGGAGATAGCGATAGAGTAAAATAGTTTTGTTTCCATCACATTGACATGCAATTTATAAATAATTCTCAATTGAGATTTTTGTTTACATATTTATGTGTGTATATACATATATATATATTTTGTGTTTACATTAAATTTTGGAATCGATTCTTTTAAAATGTCTTATGAATATATTACGAATATATGAATATATGAATATTTATGTAATTTATTAGTTTATATATTTTGTATAGTTTGTATATTTTGATATACATTTCGATATTTGATATATAAATGAAAATTATTATAATAATTTAACTATTATCTAAAGAATGATTCGGAAGAAGGATTGAATAAGAATTGGATAATAGATACAGATGTAATTAATTTTTTTATAAATATAGTCATATATTTTAAATGGAAATTATATAATTTTTAATCCATCAATTAATACGTTATTTCAACTATAAAATTTACTGAAAATATTTATATATTAAAGAATTATTAATTTAAAAGATATTTTAATTTAAATTTTTTTCTAAAATTTATTCTAATGACAAAAAAATATTAAAATTATTTTCAACATAAATAGTATATGTTATTAATACATTTATGTACATTTATATATATATTTTAACACTTTAATATTTTAAAGTATTATCTTATTAACATCTTCCTAGTTGATATTTATCTCTCTTTAATATGTATATATATTTTTCAAAATTATTACAAAGTTATATAAACATCAAACTAATATATATATAATATTTAATATTACATTATAATTATTTAATACTGAAATAAATGAAATAATTATCAATATATATATTGTATAATAGTACATATACATTTGTATAAAATTTATATATATAATTCAAAGTATTAAGTAAAAAAAATTTATACAATTAAATAAAATAATAATACATTATTTAAAAATTAAAAAATAAATTATATAAAAATGAATGGAGATTGGAAATTAATATAAGAACGTAACAATTCACATATCAATAAACAAAATGTTTTTTTTTTCAAACATGTTTGCAATTAATTCGCCAATAGTTCGTTTTTATCAATAAATTTTATTATATATTATTATATATATTATATATTACTATACTTTATTATTATATACATATATTATTATATTTAAAAATATAAATAGCCTTTTTTGAAAAATTGAGAGAAGCATAATAAACAGTTTGTTGAAAAAACTATTTATAAAATAAAAAGAAGAGAATTCAATATTATAAAGCTTATAAATTATGTTAATTATACTATTATATAGATATTATTATATTACGATTTAAATTCTTTAAATTCTTTTAAACATATTAAGATCAATAATAAAATTAATTTTAAAAAATCAGTTAATAATGATTTTAAACCGAAATTTTTTAATCCAAATTCTCTAGAAAAAAAAATCTCTAGAAAAAGTTTCATATATATATGATTTGAAACCGACATTAAAAAAATATTTGTAAAACTTTATATCCTTGAAATTCTAAGCTTCTTCAAATATGTGCTTTTTACTGTTATCTTTAGCTTGTTTTGTAAAACTTTGCGAAAAAACAGAGGGAGCGGCCAAGATATCGAGAAAACTTCAAATTGCCTACTTTGTGAAAACATCATCCTTTCATTAAAGAATATAAGAGAGAGTTGCTAATACCACTTAAGATCTTTTAAGACTTTCTGAT